AAAAAGGAAAAAACAAGAAAAAAGCTACAGCTGCTTAAATGGTAATTCCTTTTTCTTTTTATGTTCTGTTGTGAGGATTGTTTTGAGTTTATATAGTGTTTGGGGGATCTGTTGTAATTTTGCCAAGGTTTTGATGTTTGTGGATAGTTTTTGCGTTCAAATTCTTCTTTTTTTTCTTTCTTTGTTTTTTCAATGGGCGGAGCTGAATTTTCGCGCGTTTATTGTTTTGGGCCAAAATTTGGATGGACTTCTTTGCTTTTTCAGAAAAGTTAGTTATGACCGTTATAGTGAGAGAGATTGATTGAAAGTTAAGATGAAAAAAAAAAAAGCAATTGTAAATAATGAAGAAAGAAGATAATAACCTAAGGAATTGGAAATAAGAAAAAAGGATTTTTTTTTTGTTAATTGAATAAAATTATTAAAATTAAATCTATATTAATTGAATTAATGTGATATGAAAATAATATCATAATAATTAAAATAAAATGTGTAAATAAATAATATCAGTTTGATTAGGGCAGTAGGGTGAGCATCGGTGCGGTTCGGTGCAAAACCGCACCTAACCGCGAAAAACCGAAAACCGAAAATGTACATTTGTCCGAACCGAACCGCACCGAACTTATAGGAAAAACCGAACCAAACCGCACCGAAATTTTCGGTTCGGTTCGGTTCGGTGCGGTTTCAGTTAACCGACTGAAAATAGCCATTGTTGAAGAACACTAGTCCAATTAAAATCAGTCCCACCAAATTGCATAACAAGCTTAACATATAAAAATTCAAGTTTATTGAAAAGAAATTAGAGTTGATGGTCATAAAGAAAGAGGACGAGATGGGAAAAGGAAAGAAGAAGAAAGAGAGAGTGAGAGCTGACCTAAATTGAGGGCCGGTGACGACGAGCGTAGGTTGAGCAGCCTGTGGAAAGTGAGAGACTAGTGAAATCGAAAGGAGGGTTGCCGCCTGACTAAGTCTGCGTGAAAGGCAGAGAGATAGCTGAAATCGAAAGTGGATTTCACTTTCGCCAATTGAAAAACTAGGCCTAAACAAAGGTAATGTTTTTAATTATTAATTACTCTTGTGTTATTACTTTATTATTAAAGCCAAATGGCCCAAACCAAAGGCCCAAATGCCTGCTAGTGTCTACATGCTACAGTAAAAAAAAAAAAAAGACACTTTAACATGTTCGTTGCGGTTCGATTAAAACCGCACCATTTAGACCCAAAACCGAACCGCACCGAACACATTGGTTCGGCTCGGTATTTCGATTTCGGCTCGGTTTTGTTCACCCTAGGCAGGATATGGCCCACGAACCAACCCACTCACCGACCTGTTGATAATGGGCTAGGCCCATTAACGTATCTGGACCTCAATCACCCAATCTTCGGCCTTGTCCACTTCCTTTGGGGTGAGCTAAAAAAGGCGGCACAAATGGCAGTGATATTTGGACTTTTAATATGAAATCATTTTGTCACTGACCTCTCCTATTTATTTCTTCGAAAAAAACAGCTTGTTCTGAATTCATTATTCATGCCAAATTCAGCTATCCCTTTTATTTCCAAACGGCCTCAAATGTTACTAACTTCACCAAATCTGATGAAGACGAATTATAAGTGTGGAGTGTACATTTAAAATACATTATGAGATTGATTTAAATTTATAATCAAAGTAGTATAAAAATTCTACTAAAATTTGTAGACAGTGGGAAAATTGATCAATCGAATTTCTTAGTTGAAATGTTTGATAAACAGCCTATTTGATTAACTTTAAATAAGTGCATTTCGAGTAGGAATGACTCAAAAGAACACAATGTAGCATAACACATATGAAGTTTAACTATTTGTTGAACCATTGTTTATTAATTCTAACCATATCTACTAATCACATCAATTAATCTAATTAATTATCAATTATTAACTAATACTATAGATGTTAAATAAAACGAGACACTCGTGAGTTCGGATCGACTTGTTTATCAGCACGAGATCGGATAACGAGCCAAGTTCGAGCTCGCTTATAGCTCGTTTCGACAACGAGTTGGGCTCGCCTAGACTGGATAAGACTCAAAAAGAAAATTTTTATATAAATTTTTTATAGTTTGACTCGTTAAAACTTGAGATCGACTCGTTAATATGGATAGACTAGCTGAGCTCGAGCTTGATTTTTGACTCGTTAAGGGTTCGAGCTCGACAACTCCACAAGGATCAACTTGAGCTCGATTCAAACAAACGTTATGTAACACCCATGAAGTAAAATCTATTAATATATAATAAGGATTAACATAATTTACTTTTAGAAACACTTTCCCGCCAATTTTATTAATTATTGCCTAAAAATAGTAAATTAACATAATCCTCCCTATATATAATTCTCGAATGCGCTGAGCCTACGTGGCTGCTTCTGGTGCTTCGGAATCCTACTTGGCGAAGAATCATGCTTCGTAATTAGGTTTGGACAAATATTATTGATATATTAATAATTAATAATCTAGGTTTGGACATTCCATAAATATTATTTAGCTAACTTAGGTATTTTAATATCACTTGTACTAAAATAACCCTTTAATTCCTATTACTTTTTAGAGTTAAACGGACAAGGCTTTGAAAATAAAAGTTTATAATCCTATTGTTTTTTAGACTTAACGTTGATAAAATATGTGGAAAATAGATAATAACCCTATTACATTTTAGACTTAAACGGACAAGGCTGTGAAAATAACTCATTGATATCTATGTCCCGTGCATCGCACGGGATACATGCTAGTCTCAGTTATGAGTTATAACAAAATTCACTAATTAAATAAATTAATATAATTAATTATTAATTATCCACAAATACTATATGCCCTAATACCCAAACCAAATTAATGTCACTAGGCTACCAAATGTTTGCATCATATGGGCAAAACTAAATGCTATGATTTGATATGAACACTTGTACTCTACAAAGATGTACAAACAGCATTCAAATAGTTTTTCTAATTTAAGCCCTATTTAGTGCAGAAAAAATCCCCCCCAAAATGTAAAACCTCTGCAAGTTCCTTTTTTTCTTTCCTCCTACAAATTTATCACTCGATCAATCTCAACTCTGAAGCTTTTCCACCAAGAACTCTCTCTCAATCTCTCTCTCTCTCTCTCTCTCT